ACTGCTGCTTCTGCCCGTCCCTTCTCTCACTGCTGCTTCTGCTTCCATCCTCTCACTGCTGTTCGGCCATCTTCTCACTGCTGCTTCTGCTGTTCGGTCCTTCTCCCACTGCTGTCTTCCATCCTCTCACTGCTGCTTCTGCTTCCATCCTCTCACTGCTGCTTCTGCTTTCATCCTCTCACTGCTGCTTCTGCTTCCATCCTCTCACTGCTGCTTCTGCTTCCATCCTCTCACTGCTGCTTCTGCTGTTCTGGCATCCACGTCTTAGCAGTGACCTTCCCATTGACGACGTGGGGCCTGACGTGTGACCAGGTGAGGGAGTGAGGCACGCTGTCCACGCTCACTGGAGGGAGAGATTAGGAGGAAGAGGTGAGGTGGAGGAGAGAGAGAGAGAGAAGGGGAAGGAGAGAGGACAGAAGGGGAGGAGAGAGACGAGAGGCAGAGAGGACAGAGGTGGAGGGGAGGGAGGGAGGGAGAGAGAGAGAGAGAGAGAGAGAGAAGAGAGAGAGAGAGAGAGAGAGAGAGAGAGAGAGAGAGAGGAGAGAGGGAGGGAGGGAGGGAGAGAGAGAGAGAGAGAGAGAGAGAGAGAGAGAGAGAGAGAGAGAGAGAGAGAGAGAGAGAGAGAGAGAGAGAGAGAGAGAGAGAGAGAAGAAGAGAGAGAGGGGAGAAGGAGAGAGGACAGAGAGGAGAGGGGGGGAGAGAGAGACGATAGGCAGAGAGGACAGAGGTGGAGGAGAGAGAGAGGGGAAGGAGAGAGATGGAAGTAGAGAGGACAGGGAAGGAGAAGGCAGAGAGGGAGAAGAAAGGAAATGAGAGCGAGACGAGATGTAGAAGCAGAGAGGACAGAGATGGAGATGACAAGGGACAGGAAAGGGATAATTAAGAGAGAGGAGGGAGGGTGGAAGAGAGAAAGGGGGGAGGGAGGATAGATAAATTAGAGAGCAAGAGATGGAGAAGCCAGAGAGAGAGAGAGAGACGGGGTGAAGTAAATAAAAAGAGGGAGAGGGAGAAGACAGGCAGTAGATGAGAAAGAAGGAGGGAGGGAGAAGGAAAGGAAGGGAAGGATATAATTAGGAGGTGAAGAGGAGAGAGGTGGAAGAGGGGAGAGCGGGAGAGGGGAAGGATAAGAGAGAAGGGCAGATAATTAGCAGAGGGGAAGAAGATGGAAGAGCGAGGAAGAGAGAGACACGAAATGAAGATAAGAGGGAGAATGATAGTTAGAAGAGAGGGTTGGAATGGAGGAAGAAGCGAGAGAGAGGAGGAGGAGAGAGAGAGAGAGAGAGACAGTGAAAGAGAGGAGATTAGATAAAGTAAGAAGGAGGGATAGGAGAAGAGAGAGAGAGAGAGTGAAGAGAGAGAGAATTAGATAAAGAAAAGGGAGGGATAGGAGAAGAGAAGAGAAAGGTGAGAGATAATTGGAAAGGAGTGGAATGAAGAAAAAGAAGGGAGGGAAGGAGGCGGAAGTAGAGAGGTAAGGGAGAGGAGGAGGAGAGAAAATGAAGGATGGAGTGAGATGGAGAGGGGGGATAAAGGAAGAGAGGGATAGAAGGAAGGATGTAAAGAGAAGAGAGGACAAGGGTGAAGAAGGGAGAGAAGGAGAAGAATAGAAGAAGGGAGGAAGTAGAGAAGGAAAGAAATTAAGAAGTTGAAGAGAATTAGGGTGTTAGAGGCGACGAAATGGAAGAAAAAAAGGAAGAGAAATAGAGAGAGAGAGAGAGAGAGAAAGGGAGAGAAAGAGAGAGAGAGAGAAGAGAAGAGAGAAGAAGGAAAGTGAGAGAGTGAGGGAAAAATGGGGGGAAAGAAAAGAGGGGGAGGGTGAAAACGGAACAAGAGAGAGGATGGATAGAGGAAGAAGGAGAAAAGGGAAAATGTGACAAAGGAGAGGAAAAGGAGGGAGGAGAAAAAAAACAGGAAATAAAAAAAAATAGGAAAAACAGGAAAAAGATGAGGAGGAAAAGGAAAAAAGTTGTAAGATATATTTTTCTTACAGTTATAATAGTAGTAAAAAGCAGTAGAATACTACTCACAAATATATATATACATATGAAATACAATCTTTCTACGACAAAGAGACGAAGAATTAGAAACAAACAAACAAAATCTAGACAGAAATGACAGAAAGACTGATAGAAACTTTGCAATTAATAACTACGTGAACAAATGAATGATAGATGATGTATAAACAAGTTAATTAATGTATCTATTCATCTTTAACAAATTACCATTTTTTCAAACAAAATCCTATTATTTAACGAAAAGAGCAAAAATAAAATGAAAAGCAATAAAAATATATATTCAACTCGAGTAAACTAAATTAAAGATAAATAAACTCAAAACAAAATACCAAAGCTTTCGTTAAAAAATGCTATTGACAGATGGTATGCAAATCGATTGGAATACATAGTATAATATCTTCACATTTCTGTTCAAATTATTGTTTTTCTACATTGACATAGTCTGAAGCATATATATAGAATAAAGAAAACACAAGCAAAAACTG